TAAAGCATTTCATCTAACATACATCATTTTGACCAAAAGACCTTACACTAGATCCTTTACTGCCTTATAGGCTCTCTGACTGTTCCATAGATAGGCATTTTACTTCTTCCAGGTGTGTGTCCTCTCCACAACGTCACAAACCTCTTCCACAGCAGGACCCCCATCTTGGTCTCACAGATCCTTAATCCAGGAAAGAACTTTGGGCATCACCTGGCCCTATCTTCCTAATTTAAATGTATCCATCTATTGGACTCTTGAGTTTCTCCAAGTCTCTCAGCGTCCTGGGGTCATCTTTCCCTCTGTGTTTGGCTAGAAGGACCCACCTCATGCTGTCCCCAACCCCCAGTACAATAGGAAATCCATGTCCTGAACTCTGTCTTTGGGAATTCTTGAGGGGCAGTAGTGTGTAGTGTTTAAGAGAATGGGTTTGAAGCTTGGGTTCACATCCCAGCTCTGCCACTTACTTGTGGTATGACCTTGTATTAGTTATTTAACTTTATGCCTCAGTTTCCTTGTATATAAAATGGGGATAGTCAAAGTTCCTCCTTTGCAGGGTTGGTATAGCATTAAATGACTTACAAACAATATACAAATATAAAGCACTTAGCACTGTACCTGCCACTCTATTATTTACAATAAAATTATTTGCTTTTATTACCTGTTTCTGCTGAATTCTTGACCTACTATGTGCCTTGTTGCTTTCTCCTCTTGTTATCCGGGGAAATTGGGTATTTTCTTTCCCATTGGGTGCTGGGGGTGGGGTCCTTACAATATCTCAAGAAAAAGAATTTTCTGAGATTCGCGCGGGAGGATAAGTGATTTTTACTTGAGTGGAATTACATCCCTGGGTCTCCAAAGTCCTATTCCAGTCATAGAAGAAGAGTAGCTGGGGTTTCAGTAATGCTAGAAGCAAAGCCAGTATCCAGTTTTCATTCCATGTTGCAGCCAGGTCCAGTTCAACATCAGGCTAGTTTCAGTCTATTAGTCCATTGTGTGTGGGGTTCGTGAATGCCAGGAAGTGGAAGCGAGAGAGCACCACAAGCCAGGAGTCAAGTGCAACATACCAAGAGGAACCAAGAGAAACTAAGAGCAACAAGAGAACAAATGCCTTTGTTTAGGGGATTAAATATCCCAAATTTTATGCCCTTGCCATGGCCAGAAGGTTGAGAACCACTGCTATAGGTGCAGCCTTCCATGATTATGGTTATCCAGGATAGAGTAAAACAAATCAGTATTACAGCCTTAGTCCAGTATATGGAATTTTTGTCCCACAGCATTATCTAGATTTTTTCTGATTTCTCCAGTTTGACATGTGCTTATGGGTATGTGTGTGTGGTTTATCAGCTATATAGATTCCTGTATCCACCACCACAATTCAAATACCAAATAGTTTTATTACCATAAAAAACTCCTTTATAACCACACCTACCTCTTCTCTTCTCTTCAGCCCTAACCCCTAACAACCACTAATCTGTTCTCCATCTCTATAACTGTCACTTCAAGAATATCATAGAAATAGAATCATATAGTATGGAACCTTTAAGGACTGGCTTTTATCAACATAAGTTACCTTGAGGTTCATACAAGTTGTGTCATGTATCAATAATTCATTCCTTTTTATGGTTGAATGATATAGATTATTATAAAACTAATTTATTTGCAATTTTTTTTTTATCTCAAGACAACTTAGAGCACAGTCCCAGGAAGCTATCAAATTTATATGTTTGTATATGTGTGTGATTTTATATATATGAACAATAATATCTTAATTTGACAATTCATGAAGATGTGTAGTCTTGCCCTATGATGAGATGCAGGGGACCCAAAAGTCTTAAGAAAGTATATAAAACACCAGGAAAATCATCAGTAGAACTTTTCCTTTGGTCTTTTAACAAATAATTTAATTTTGTGACTCTTGTTATTATTAAACTAGAGGCCCAGTGCACGAAATTTGTGCATGGAGGGGGGGTTCTCTCAGCCCAGCCTGCACCCTCTCCAACTGGGGCCCTTGGGGGATGTCCGACTGACAGTTTAGGCAAGAACCCTGTGGAATCGGGCCTAAACCGGAAGTCAGACATCCCTCTCACAATCTGGGATGCCTGGCTCCTATCTGCTCACCTGCCTGCCAGCCTGATCACCCCTAACTGCCCTCCCCTGCTGGCATGATCTCGCCCCCAACTGCCCTCCTCTGCTGGCCAATTTGGTTCTGATTGGTCTGTTCCTATGCCAGTCAGCATCAAAAGCTCCGCCTCCTAGACAGCCATTGGTTCTTCACAGCACCCAGATTTGGTTCTGATTGGTCATTTCCTATGCCAGTCAGCATCTCTGGGCCTATCTCCGGGCCTGATCAGAGAGGCAGGGCAGAACAGCAGCCCCCACAGAGGCCGCGAGAGAAAGAAAGGCCTGGCTGCTGGTGAAGCCTGGAAAGAAAGAGGGAGAGAAAGAGAGAGGCAATTAATGATCAATAGCTGCCACTGAGGCTGCGGATCAGACCCCGCCTCTCTCTCTGGGTCTCAGCCCTCTGGGCAGTCAGTGCTGGGTCACCAGGCTACAGCAGGGCAGTCAGTGCTGGGTCGCCATGGCAACTCAGCACTGACTGAAGGACTTCCGGGTTGGTCAGCCTTTGGTTGTGATCATTCGTTACGATCCTGGGCTTTTATATATTAGGATACTAGAGGCCCAGTGCATGAAATTCGTGCATGGGTGTGTGTGCCTCAGCCCAACCTGCATCCTCTCCAATCTGGGACATCCCTCTCACAATCCAGGACTGCTGGCTCCTAACTGCTCACCTGCCTGCCTTCCTGATTACCCCTAACCGCTTCTGCCTGCCAGTCTGATCGCCCCCTAACCACTCCCCTGCCGGCCTGATTGATGCCTAACTGCTCCCCTGCCAGTCTGATCTCCCCCTAGCTGCCCTCCCCTGCTGGCCCAATTGCCCCAAAACTGCCCTTCCATGCTGGCCTGATGGCCCCAACTGCCCTCCCCTACTGGCCTGGTTGCCCCCAACTGCCTTCCCCTACTGGCCTGGTTGCCCACAACTGCCCTCCCCTGTCGGCCATCTTGTGATGATGTGAGGGCGTCGCGCAAGGGCTCGAGGACCACCTAGGCTTTTATTAGTATAGATGAAGATCTTAGTTCTTCCCAAAGGAATACTGTAAAGATAATTAGCTAAAAGAGAGTATTGGACAACATTTAAAACTCCTTTTAAAATGGTTTTATATACCCATAACACATTCTATTGCTTTCCCAACACACAGGCTTCAGAATGCTTCTTTTCTGGTTTGTTTTCTTCAATAATTGTCATGTCTGATATGTAAATCTAAGAAGTTGGTTTGTTACTGTTTCTGTGTATTCTGCCATAAGATGTAAGACACCTAGATAAGACACATGATCTTTGTTAAAGCACATAAAGCAGCATGAGCATTAGCATGTTTACGCAAGTCCCCTTGTCTCCAAGTTCTATGAGGTTGACTTGGGGGAGCCCAGAGAGATGCTACATGTACAGCTGAGGACACCGAGCTTGGAGAACTGGCCATTATACAGTTAGTAACTTTGTCTCAGAGGGAATCATAACCTCTTTCTCAAGACTGTTCACTGAAATACAAGCCTAAGAAATAGCCAGGTAAAGTGGAAGACAGTTCAGAGTAACAATTCCCCAGTCCACAAATGGATTAAGGATACATCTTGGTTTTGTGTATCTGTATTTATATGTATATAACATCCTCCCCTCTGTCGTGCTTCACTTGCAGCTAGAGGTGCAGTGTCCTCCTGGCATCACCATTGGCTTTGTTATGGACCACTGGAACCTGTGCCGGGCGGTGTACAGCATCCAAAATGAGAAGAAAGAAAATGTGCTGAGCGTTCGTGGGCCATGCTCAACCTATGGCTGTGGCTCAGATTCTGTGTTTGAGGTAAACAAATATAAAAATAATGTTTCTTCTATTTTTTCTGCGTGTACTAACACACTTCAGAATGATTTGGTTTAGATCATTTTTCATGTGAATCAATAAATTAGTATGAGGAGTTAACTGGTTGACATTATGTGATTTTCAAATTATTGTTACTGGATTGCTTAATGTTTTCTAAAATGTAAGATCTTTTAAAAATGATTTTAGTGTTTTGTAAAGATAAGAGAAACCATTAAAACATTAATCCTGAGAGTAAGTAGCCTGACATACATCTATTTAATTATTGGTTGTATTTAATTAACTGTTTTTTACCAAAGATTTCCAGGATCAGAAAATATGCCCTGAGGAATGAAAGTGCCCACCTTCGCACAGAACCTGTGGCCCCCGAGGCTATGCACGTTGCTTATTTGCAGAATAGAAGTTTGTGTCCTCAGGAAACAGGACAATGTTGATAACATATATAAAACTCATAGCTATAACATTTTCTCAGGAAAAAGAAAAATCCTTTTGTTTTGCCTTCATGGATACAAAATGATTGCATATAATCCTGTGAATCTGACAAAGGAGATGCCTAGAAATATTTCATGAGCTTCTAGGAATCCTTTCTGAATGCCTTGTAATTCAGCAAGGCTCATCATCTAAAATTGCTCCTTCTAGTATTGCCCATGACACTCAATAAACTTCCCTTAGTTCTCAGTTTACTTTACCATGTCATCAAGCATTGTTTACTTTTTAAAAGACCATGTGGAGAAATAGAAAATATAGATAAGCTAGATTTCAGGGTCAGGCTGTGTGGGATCATTCAGATCACTGAAAGTCAATGTCTGACTGTTTTTCCTCTGGCAAGTGCCAGTGTTCCCCTTATAGAAGCTGAAGTCTTTTGGGATCCTGGCATAATTTAAGAAGATTGATTTGTTTGGCACACATGAGTTTAAGTGTTTATATGGAGTTTGTGAAGTGCACAGAACCATGCCTCATGTGTTTCCCTAGACTAGAAGAAATTCCTTTCTAATCCCGAATTCCCACCCTTTGCTATATGGAGAAGAACTTCAAAAAAATCAGTTCAAGTCATACCTCCCTAATAACTCATTTGAAGATGAAGAAAGAGCATTGGCCTGAGAAGTATAAGATATACAGTATTAGTTACCATAAAGTCTAATTCTTATCTTCCTAGGTCAAAGCCATCAATGGTGTCTCTAACATCGGCAGTATTATTAGAAAGTGGAATGGTTTAATGTCAGCCATGGGCAATGCTGACCACTTTGACATTCACTTCCCATTAGACCTGGATGTGAAGATGAAAGCTATGATTTTTGGAGCTTGCTTCCTCATTGTAAGTCTTTTGCTTTTGAGTTATCTTGAGAGAATTATTATTTCTGATAAGAAGCAGTGTAGAAGAAAGGCAGTAGCTTTGAAACTAGACCAAGTTCTGTCTCTACCACTTATTAGTTACACTAGAGGCCTGTTGCAGGAAGATTCCTGCAAGAATAGGGCTTCCGGAGACCGTAGCGAAGCAGAGAAGGGAGCGAAGCCCACTGAGGCGGGCTTAGCTCCCTTCTCCGCTGCCTCGCTCCTTCCCTTCGCCGCTTTGCCCTCGGCTCCCTCCCGTCTCCACCGCTTCGCTCCCTTCCTTCTCCACTGCCTCGCTTCCTCCCTTCTCCACTGCCTAGCTTCCTCCCTTCTCCGCTGCCTCGCTCTGTTCCTTTTCCACTGCCTCGGCTTCCTCCCTTCTCCGCTGCCTCGCTCCCTTCCTTCTCCGCTGCCTCGCTTCCTCCCTTCTCCACTGCCTCACTCCGTTCCTTTTCCACTGCCTTGCTTCTTCCCATGTCCACCGCCTCGGCTCCCTCCCTTCTCCACCACTTCACTCCCTCTCATGTCCGCTACCTCAGCTCTGCTCCTATCTCTGCTACCTCCGATCCGTTCCCTTCTCTGCCTCTTGGCTCCCTTCTGCAGTGCTTGGCTTCCTTCTACACTCTCTTCAGTCTTCACTGGGCACCTGTGTATGCAAATTAACCGTCATCTTTGTTGGGTTAATTTGTGTACTCTTCTGATTGGCTGGTGGGTGTAGTGAAGGTACAGTCAATTAGCATCTTTGTCTTTTATTAGTGTAGATGTTTTGTAAAGTGTTTACACTTGCAAGCCTCAGTCTCCTTGTCTATAAAATGAATATAAAAATACATCTATTTTCAAGGTTATAAATGTTAACTACCATATGAATAAAGGGGCAAGAGAGTGCTTGGAAGGTATTAGGCATCCAGTGGGATCATCATTGCATGTTATTAATTATTTTTATTACTTAAAAAAAAACCTATCTTCCCTAGCCAGTTTCGCTCAGTGAATAGAGCATCAGCCTGGGGACTAAAGGGTCCCACGTTCAATTCTGGTCAAGGGCACATGCCCAGGTTGCAGGCTAGATCCCTAGTGTGGGGCATGCAGGAGGCAGCTGATCAATGATTCTCTCTCATCATTGATATTTCTATCTCTCTCTCCCTCTCCCTTTCTCACTGAAATCAATTATATATATATATATTAGAGGCCTGATGCACAAAATTTGTGCAAGAGTAGGCCTTCCTTCCCTCGGCTGCCAGCACCGGCTTCCCTCTGGCACCCGGAACCCAGGCTCCTCTTGGAACCCCAGCTTCCTCCAGAAGGTCATACAGAATGACACTTTTATTATTATAGATAGACGAGTGGCCTGGTGCACGAAATTCGTGCATGGGGGTGGGGTGTCCCTCAGCCCGGCCTGCACCCTCTTCAATCTGGGACCCCTCGGGGGATGTCCAACTCACAATCCAGGACCACTGGCTCCTAACTGCTCACCTGCCTGCCTACCTGATTGCCCCTAACCATTCTGCCTGCCGGCCTGCTTGCCCCAACTGCCCCCCCTGCCGGCCTGCTCACCCCCAACTGCCCCCCACTGGCCTGATCACCCCCAACTGCCCTCCCCTCCTGGCCCTAACCGCCTCTGCTTCAGCCCCGCCACCATGGCTTTGTCCGGAAGGTCTCCTGGTCTAATTAGCATATTATCCTTTTATTAGTATAGATATTTTTTAAAGCCTATCCTGTGACTTCTTAACGAAATAAAATAACTCTAAAGCTGATGTCCTTTTTCTCCACCTCACTGTCTCTCTGTCAGTGTACTACTTGGTGTTACACTGTCCTTAGATTTATTAGGTGCGGTCCCCTTGCTGTATTTCTGACTAATTAGTGGTTAATAGTCATAAGTAAAGCATAGATTGATAATATTTACCCAAAATATCTCACTAATATATTGCATTTGGTATATTTAGCGTATTTAATATTGATTATCAAGTTTTTTTCCTTTAACAATAAAAATTTACTTAGTATTCCAAATGGAGAACATATTGGCTAACAACAGTTTTAAGTATGTAATTGCTGCTCTTTATATTAAGTCCTCTTTATAAAGATTTATCAGATTTCTTAACTGGTCTGGGAAGATTGCCAGATAAATTATAAAGGATAATGTTTTATGCATTACATCAAATTATTTATGTATTTATATACATAGTGCTCTCTCTCCCTCTCTCTCCCTCTCTTTTTCCAATTTCAGGACTTCATGTATTTTGAAAGATCACCACAACATTCATCAAGATAGATGGACAAAGAAAATCAGCAGTTATGGTTTTTTAAAAGTTAGAAAAAGTTGGATTGGGCTTACAGTCAATCCTCAATTATGTGCCTGCTTTTGAAGATTACTTTTATTTCATGTTAGCTCTGACAGGCAGCCTGAGAGTGTAAGAACACAGTCTAATGTGCGTTTCAGTTGAGAATCTGTCTCGTTGTCTACTTGTTAAACTAGGAGTTCATCCTGAAAAAGCTTTGACTCATTAACCCAGTAAATGTAGATATGATGAGCTGGAAAACACTTTAATATAAGATAGGGGAAAATGAATCCCAGAGTTCTCACATTAATAGCTAACGTTCATCAACATATCTTCTCACCAATGACAAATTTGACTCGAGATGAAAAGAACAATATTCTTCATCTTTAAAAACAAAAGGAAGGCAGGCAGAAGTATTCTATTTTATTGTACAAGGAACATTTTACCTGTGCACATGTATCAATGCCTCATTTTGCAAAATTTTTAAAAGTTTCAATGGAAAACTTGATTTCATTATCAAATAAAACTGTTTTTATCATAATGTTTATGTTTTCCATGCCTGCCCCCTTGTTCATGGACAGTCAAGAACTGCCTTATACCACATGTACCAGTTAATAATGGACATTTTTTTCACTAGATGGAGTTACACATATGTTGATATATATATATGCGATTTGATATGTATGCTATTTTGTTGTATTGACAGCAAGCTTCCAAACTTCATATGTCAAATTTGCTGAAGGTGTTAACATCATAGATATTTTTAGGCTTAAAAATGTCGAATTTCTTGCCAAAAAAAGAGCATTTGTGGGAAGTTTTAATTCATTACTTTATTTTGAAGAAAAGTGCTGCTGAAAGTTATTGTATACTTTGGGAAGCTTATAGTGAACATGCTCCATCTCAAGATACTTGTGAATGCTGGCTTAAATGCTTTAAAAGTGATGATTTCAATGTGAAAGACAAAGAACGTCCAGGTCAACCGAAAAAGTTTGAAGACCAACAATTACAAGCATTATGGGATGAAGATGCATGTCAAACTCAAAAACAACTTGCAGAAAGATTAAACGTTGCTCAACAAACAATTTCTGATAGTTTACAAGAAATGGGAAAGATTTTAAAGGAAGGAAAATAAGTGCCACATCAACTGAACGAAAGACAAATGGAAAATTGAAAAGTCATCCGTAAAATGTTGCTTCAATAGCATGAAAGAAAGTCTTTTTTGCGTCGAATTGTGACTGGTGATGAAAAGTGGATTTATTTTGAGAATCCCAAATGCACAAAATCATGGGTTGACCCTGGTCAACCATCAACATCGACTGCAAGGCCAAATCACTTCAGAAAGAAGACAATGCTCTGTGTTTGGTGGGATAAGGAAGGTGTGTATTGTGAGCTTCTAAAACCAGGTGAAACCATTAATACTGATCGCTACTGACAACAAATAATCAATTTGAACCACGCTTTGATCGTGAAATGACCAGAATGTGCCAGAAGACACGGCAAAGTAATTTTGCTTCATGATGATGCACTATCACACACTTCAAAATCAGTTAAAGACACGTTAAAAGATCTTGCCTGTGAAGTATTAACCCACTTGCTGTATTCACCAGACCTTGCTCCTTCAGATTACACTTGTTCCGATCGATGGCACAAGCACTTTCTGAGCAGCACTTCAAAATGTATGAAGAAATGGAAAATTGTGTCTCTGAATGGTTTGCCTCAAAACAAGAAAAGTTCTATTGGGACAGTATCCACAAATTACCTGAAAGATGGGGGAAATGTGTAGCTAGCGATGGACATTACTTTGAATAAAGCACTTTTGATGTTTCTCTGAAATTACCATGTTTTCTTTGATTACAAAATTCGCTATTATTAACCGGTACACCTGGTATATGAAGACAAGGTCAGACTATCAGGAAAAAAGGTGACCAGGACCACAGCCACTCTAGATCTAGCAATTTAGAGACATTGGTGCCCTTATAAAAAGCTTGCATTTAATACATTTAACCTCTTTTGGTCACAGATGCCTTATATATAAAATATTCTCAGCCAAATCTCTAAGATTGCCTATTGAACCTATGTATCTCCTTTGATGTAAAAAAGAGGAGATCCCTGATAAAAAAATGTGCTGTTTGTATGGCAAGAGTTGGAGTTTTGTTTTCAAATTTTAAAATGTGACAATCTGAGTAGCACTTTGTAAAAGCAAGAACTATAAATTTTGACACTGCTTACTATTGCTTTGCTGCTTTTTAAGTAATAGATAAATTTGTATCTATGCAAAGATAATAAAACAATAAACTTTCTACAGATTTTATAGGATGAGTACAGATTATATAAGATCAATTTAGTTAAAGTATAAATTGTACTTGTTTGTATTAACTAATTAACAACATACTATGTCAATGACTACACTGTGACAAATCCGCTTGCTTTTATTGCACTTTAGCAGCCTATCTGGACATGGACTGTGTGTCTTTTTAACACAACCAGTACATTGAATGGAACGTGTTCTTCTGCTTCTTATTAAAAAAAATAATAATAAGCTGAGTGCTCTTAGGTTTGGTTATTCTGAGATGAGGGCCTTTACCCACACTTCTTATTGAAGTGAAAGAAAGCTGCCTCAGTTTTTAATTATATTAATCTTTTCATGGCAAAAATTGTCTACTCAGTTTCTTGTAATGTTCATTTTTATGCATGACTGCTAGCTTTAAAAAACGGAAAAACTGCTGCTTTCTAAAATACTAATTACCTTGTATTTGAAAATGTAGTTGTACTCTTACACATATATATTATTCCTTATAATAATGTCTAACATTTTCTATAGAAAATAAAATTGTATTCAGAAAATTTATATAAACTTTCGTTTTTATTTGCTTATACCCCATTTCAGGACCTGCTGTATAATACTAAAAAAAATTATTTTTATCATATGACATTTTAAATTTTTTTTCAAAGTTTTTGTGGTATTAACTTGTATCTTACAGTTATTATAATTCCTCTTTCTTTAAGGAAGAATGTCATATTTTATACTACAGTTCATATTTTTATGAATTAATTACCCCAATGTGATGGTATTTGGAGGTAGGCACTTTGGGGGAGGAATAGGCCAGCACCTTGATCTTGGGCTTACTAGCCTCCAGAACTGTGAGAAATAAAAGTTTGTTGTTTAAGCCACCAGTCTATAGTATTTTTGTAACAGCATCCCAAATGGATTAAGATAGGAGTTTGGTACTGAGAAGGGAGGTGCTGCTATAAAAAATATCCACAGGAAGATGATACGTGGTAGAAAGTTTTATTTGCATGGAATTATATCCCTTGATTTTCAAAGTCTCATTTCCTTTAAATCAAATCTGGAAAATGTGCAGCTGGGGATTCAGCAGAGCTAAAAGTAAAGCCAGTGTCCAGAGTTTCCATTCTGTGGTGGAGTTGAGTCCAGCAGGGCATCAGACTAATTTTAGTTCATCGGTTTCTTATATGTGGGGTCCATATGGCTGTGGGCCATGTGGGTGAATGCAGGGGAGCACACCACCTACAACAAGAAAGCCAGGAGCACAAGAGGGCCAATAGAGGGAATTCCCTTTCTTTAGGAGCTTATGTATCTCAGATTTCCCACCCTTGCAGTGGCCAAGCCTATTCTGGCCAATGACCTGCTCCCACGTGTGACTGACAGATAATCACCTTTCCTTCATCATTTAGACCTTACTGGGCATGCATCTATTCTTCCTTTGTCCAGTCCCTTCCCCTGGGATCTGTGGCAAACAGACCTGTAAAGTGTCAAACGCTTTCTAGCACAAATGGCATGCCTATATTATCTGGCCTTTCCTTTGCTCCTTTTCTGTTATTTAATTAATAACTGAGTTAATTACAATGGTGTCAATTTTACCCTCCTCTCCACTATTTCCCCTTATCAATAATTATTTTATTGAGCATCCATTAATTCATTGCTGAACTATTTTTGAAGACAGAGGGAAATGCAAAGGTAAAAAATACATAGCTGCTATTCTCAGGGATTTTCAGGCTAATGAATGAGACAGACTTTTAAACAAACAAAAAATACACATCTTTGAAGACCACAGTGGACATGTGTATTCAATGGGATATTGACACATTCAATAGAGGCCATGGTCACTAGCACCATCTCATGTGCTGTATAATATACTTCTGTCCTATTTAATCACATTCTAGGCCCAGGTAAACCTCCAGGCACTACTGAAGGAGAATAAGATATATTTTTCAGTCTTGTCTGAAAGCTGAATGCATAGTAAATACAATTGGAGGGTCAATTTAGCAAAATTCTATCAAGCCAAGTTGGGATAGTAAACAGAGCCCAGGAGAGTGGTACATGAATAGTGCTCAACCAACATTTGTGGAATGAATGACAAAATTTCTCTGTGTATGACATTGCACTAAGTGTTCAAGAAGACAAATGAAACGATATCCTCTATCCCTCAGTAGGCTAAAGCAAGTAAGTATGTAATTGCATCACAAAACTAAAGAATTGGTGCATAAAATAAAAATTATTTTGTTTCAAATGTATATTACTTAACTCCCCCAACTGCATCATGAGATAACCATCAATACCATTTTTCAAAGGAAGTAACAACAAAATAGGTCCAGAGCCATGGAGGCATGGAACAATCTGACATTTACCAGAGGGAAGGTGGGGGAGGGAGGGAGAGACGGGAAGAGATTAACCAAAGAATTTATATACATATATGTGTAACCAATGGACAGAGATAATAGTGTGGTAAAGGAGATAACCAAGATGGCGGTGTAGGTAAATGCCTATACTCACTGCCTCCCACAACCACATCAGAATTGCAACTAAATACGGAACAACCATCATTCAGAACCACCTGGAAGCTGGCTGAATGGAAGTCCTACAACTTCAGAAGTAAAGAGGAAAGCACATTGAGATTGGCAGGAGGGGCAGAGGTGCAGACAGGGCTGGACCAGCACCCACATGTGCTGCTTTTTTAAACAGGGGGGCTATCATCTCTGCAAAGGCCACCCATGAAGAGCAAGGGATCCCAGCCCCATACCAGACCCCCAGCCCAGGCTCTCAGAGCTGGAAAAAGAAGTTCCCATGACCATGGACTGTAAATACCAATGGAAATTCTGGCCTAAAGACATGGAGGCTGCTAGAGACCCAGGTGTTCCTCTTAAAGGGCCTGTGCACAGACTTACATGGTCCAGCTTCCTCCGAGCTCCAGTGCCAGGGGTAGGCTAGGGGACCCAGACACATCCGAGGAGGAACTGGACTTCATGGCATTGGGTCAGGAACTCAGAGGTGGTTTTCTCAGAGACTGAGGTGCTCACAAGGGTCATTGTTCCTGGGCTGGGACCTCCCCTGTCACAGGGCTGACTGGCAGCTGTATCTGTTTACTCTGCCCTGATGACTCCCTGAGACCCCACCCCATCCAATTTTCAGCCCCACCCAACCTGTTTGCAGTGGCTTTTGCAGATGAATGGCCTGTCCTTGCTCAGGCTAAAATCTCTCAAACAAGCTGCAGGTGAGTCAGTGTGCCCCAAACCTATCAATAA